TAGCATTTTTATATAGTCAAGCTAGGTCAGATTAACAATTTACCACTAATTACAAGTTTATTGGCTTCTCAGTGAACTGATATGTGTGAGGTGTTGCTAAATGCACTATAGGGTGTGTTGATTCAGTTGTCCTAGTAAAATATGTGTGTTGTGTGTGTTGACCACAGGTTTTGGAGTCAAATATAGGAGTTCAAATACTGGCTCTAATACTTACTGTAGCTATTGGCTAATTCACTTAACCTTGCCATGACTCAGTTTCTTTATCTCTGAAATTGGAATAACAACACTCAATACTTGGAATTGTGATTAGAGAGAACGCAGGTAAAGTATCTGGCAAAGAACCTGTTACTTAGTAAGCCACAAGTGGTAATAGTAATAGTAATAGTAGTTAAAATAGTAATAAAGCAGTAATAGTACTATTATTATTATAATTATTAAATAATATTACTTAAAAACATCATTTAATGTTATATTATTGTTTAATGTATTATTATTAAGTATTACATCTGCTAACATTGACTCACCATTTTCTTTCAGCTTTGTCAAATTTTCTTTCAATTCTTCAATTTCTAGTTGAGCCTTCTCAAGTGCAGAATCTAAAAGAAAAAGAAACAAAAGATTTGAGTAAAGAACAAATGATTAGTGTAATAATCAAATTTCAAATTACTTTTCTTTTTTGGAAAAGCTTTCTGATGGCTGTCCTTTGAGTTTCTATGTAAATGTCACCTCCTCCAGGAAGCCTTTCCAGACTTCTCTCTCATTGTTTCTACTGTACCCTACATTTATCCCTATCTCTGATTATCTGACTTCATAATCCGTCTTGTCATCTTTCCCTGTTTCCCTAACCAGATTCTATGCTGGAAGGTATGCACCACTATAAACAACAGAAACAGTTAAAAGCTTTTAAGCATAAGCATGGTACTACTAGTTTAGTAAAAAGAAATTGCACCCAGAAATACTTAAAATTAATTCCTGCAATTAATAATATTTAGGGCCGGCCCAGTAGCGCATTGGTTAAGAGCTGTCTTGGGATGCCAGCTCTGAGCAGCAGGGCCCCAGTTCGGATCCCACATAAGGGCCAGTAACACTGCCCTCTACAGCTAAGATGGTGAACAACAGCTAGACCTGGAGCTGGGCTACCGTGAGTTGCTGGCGACAGCATATGCTGCAGCCCCTGCTGCAGTGGGCTGCCGTGAGCTACTATGAGTGGCCGGCAGCCAGCATGAGTGGCTGGCAGCTGGTGTGAGCTGCCAAGGCCGTGAGCGGCCATTCAGAGGCCGGCGACAGATCCGCCTCATCCAGGAAGAGCGCAATGATCACAATACCAACATGGGCTAGTGAAGCGACGTCCTCCACAACTAGACTGAAGAACAAAAAGGACAGCAACTTGTCTGTTCCCCTTCCCTGACTCCCCAGCACTGTTCCCCTCCCACATTTCCTCAATTAAAATCTTAAAAAATAATAATAATAATATTGAAATTTTTGTCAATAGTTGCTAGAAATATCAAGCTAGCAAAATTTCAGGAACTAGCTTTTGGTACTATTCAAGAATTGTATGAGGATGTTAGAATGGTATGGGGAAGAAGGTGGGGCATTGGAGGTGATTAAATTTGGGTTTTCTAATCCAGGTTTTATCACTTTGCTTCCTGTGGTCTATTCACCACCAGTGATAAGGCTGGTGGGCCTCTTATGTCGGGATGAGAAATCTCCCAGGTGCAGGAGACAAACACGAATCTTGTAAGAGATCATTCCTAATTACACAGCAAAGGTGCATGGGGCAAAGTCCAGAGGAAATCAGGCACAAGCTTCCAAGAGTCTTCTCCCTGTGATGTCACACAGGATGTGCTTAACGTCTCCAGCAACCAATCGACAATATGTGTGAAATGTTGTCTACCAGGGAAGTTCATTATAGACTCAGTGCCCAAGGTTTTTATTGGGGGCTGGTCACATATACACCGTCTTCTGCCCAGGACATAACCAAAATTCCAGGCTCTCAGATGGAAAGTAGGTTTTCAGCATAAACCACATTGTTTGTACTAAGAGCTTTGGCACAGTGAGCCACTATCATAATTTAGGATGTGGTGTCAACCGTCCCAAAATCCAAGTTCCCAGATGCTAAATAAGGGCTAATCTTGTAAGCAGGACTTTCTAAGGATAGCAATATCAAGTCTTCCATGTTAATTATTTGCTCCACAGATGGATATACCACATTTTGTTTAACCATTCACCGATTGGTTAAACATTTGAATCGTTTCTGCCTTTTGGCTATTGTAAATAATAGTGCTCTGAACATTCACATACAAGTCTTTGGGGGGACATCTGTTTTCATTTCTCCTGGGTAGATACTTAGAAGTGGAACTGCTGGGTCACGTGATAATTTTAAATTTAATATCTTTGTGAAATTGCTTTCCAAAGTGTCTTCACCATTTTCCATTCCCACCAGCTACTCATGAGGGTTCCAATTTTCCACTTCCTTGTCAATACTTGTCATTGTCTTTTTATTATAGCCATTGTAGTGGGTATGAAGTAGAATCTCATTGTATAATATTGGGTTGTCGGAAAAGTCATGACGTATTTTTTCTATGTTTTTCGTTGCAAAAATGTGTTATGACTTTTCCGACAACCCAATAGTTTTAATTTGCACTCCCCTAATGACTAATGATGTTGAGCATCTTTTCATGTGCCTGTTGGCTATTCATATATCTTCTCCAAAGAAATGTCTACTCACATATTTTGTTCATTTTTAAATTGGGCCATCTTCTTACAATAATATAAAAGAATATATAAGCATTCTTTACATATTCTGGATATAAATTCCATATCAAACATATGATTTGCAAATATTTTCTCCTAGTCTGTGCTTGTCTTTTCACTTTCTTGATGGTATCTTTAGAAATACAAAAGTTTTAAATTTTGATTAAGTCCAATTTATTAGTTTTTCTCTAATCCCTTTTGCTTTTGGTGTTGTATCTAACATATCATTGCCTACCCCAAGATCATGAAGATTTACTCTTGTTATCTTTTAAGAGTTTTATAGTTTTAACCCTTACATTTAGCTCTGTGGTCCATTTTGAGTTAATTTTTATGTAGGTGTGAGGTAGGGGGCTGTATTATTTTGAAGCAAATCCTACATATCATTCATCTATAAATATTTCACTATATATCTTTAAAAGATACCAACTCTTTTAAAAAAAACTCAGCATCATTATGTATGATTAAGGCAATTTAACAATAAGTATACAATAAGTATTCAAACTTCCAATTGTTTCATAAATGTTAAAAATTTGTTTAAATCAAAATCCAGTAAAGGCCACACATTATATTTGATTAATAAATCCTTAAAATCTGTTAACATTCATATTCTTCTTGCAATTTATTTATTGAAGACGACTCTAAATATTTAACATGAATTTTTTTTTTATTCTTGAAAAAGTTTTATATTTTTCAAAATTTTTCATTCCCATCCAAATTTTTGGATGTGATACAGAGAAAACCAGAGAATAAACTAAAATAAAGCCTGTCATTTAAAAGAGTCAGTTGGTGTAAAGAAATAGGCTAACACTTGGGAAACAGTGTCATGAAAACATATACCTAGAAAAAAAATTATGGCTATAAATTGATGACTCACAAAGTCACACATAGGGCACGCATTGATATCACATATAATTTAAATGGACTTGCTCATTCAGCTTTCTAACAGGCCCCCGGTTTACTCAGTGTGGAGATTTCAGTTAATAGCTTAGGATCTGTACTAGACCAACCAGCTCCTGACAGAACAGGGGGCCATGTGATCGTGTTCTGCTGTGTCCACATGTAACTGAGGAATGGGTGTCCTGCTTTTCCTTGCTCCTTCTGCATTGCAAGCAGGTAAGGCTGCTTCCCATCATAGTCACATAGACAAATTTCTGTTTAAAAACTGGGTTTATTGAGGGCCAGCCGAGTGGCACCTTGGTTAAGAGCTGGCTTGGAACACCAGAGGGCCCCGATTCAGATCCCACGTATGAGGGCCAGTGACACTGCCCTCCACAGCTAAGATGCTGAACAACAGCTCAACCTGGAGCTGGGCTGCCTGAGTTGCCGGTGATGGCATAGGCTGCAGCCCCGCTGCAGTGGGTTGCCATGGGCTACCATGTGTAGCCAGCAGCCAGCTTGAGCGGCTGTCCAGAAGCCGGCGACTGATCTGCCTCGCCCGGGAAGAGCGCGATGATGGTGCCAACTTGGGCCAGTGAAGCAACGTCCTCCACAACTAGACTGAAGAACAAAAGGACAGCAACTTGTCTGTTCCCCTTCCCCAAATTCCCCAATAAAAATCTTAAAAAAAAATTGGGTTTATTGAGATATAATTTGCATACAGTAAAATTCACCCTTCTAAGTACATAGTTTGATGAATATTGACAAATATATACAATTGTGTACCTACCAACTCAATTAGGATATAGGACAATTTCATTTTCTGAAAAGTTTGTGTTCACTGTTTAAAATGTATTCTTAACAAACTCTCAAGCCTTGTGATATTTTTTGTTTTTAATCTCACAATCAATTTGGAAGAATCATTATTATCTTATACATATAACATTTTTTAGATGTCAATCTTAAAGTAACCTATATTCTGCATTTGAAAAGAATCAGTCTAATTTCTTTAATCATTTCAAATTATAAGTATAGAAAGGGGATAATTAAAAATTGTTAAACTTTATGCTAAAATAAATTATAGATAAAGCAAAGATTGAAATACAAACAATGAAACCATAAAAGTACTAAAACCAACCAACCCACTAGGGGTGAATATTTTGAATAACATAGTAATGTAGAAAACCCAGAAGCCATAAAGAATAACCCTGTCAAACCTGACTTGATAAATATTAGCATTTCTATATGGCAAAAAACTCCAATATCACATTTATAGCCAACAAACGGCTCATATCCAGAATATATAAAGAACTCCTGTAAATTAATGAAACATAAACATACAAACCAATAAAAAACTATACTGAGACCTGAGCAGGGACTTCACAAAATAGTATCTCCAAAGGAGCAACAACAACAAACATATATTGTAAAAGGGTTTTCAACTTCATTAGTTATCAGGGAAATGCAAATAAAAGCCACAGTTAAATTCCACTACACATTCATCAGAAAAGGTCGTTAGTAAGACTGAAAATATCAAGTATTGACAAAGAATGTGGGGCAACCAAAATCTCACATGCAACTGAGAGTTTAAATTAATACAACGATTTGGAAGACAGTATGGCAGTGACCTACCAAAGTAGAACATAGCCAGAACCCTTAGAGTAGAATCCAATAATTCTACTCTTAGGTCTATCACATTCAGAAATGTGTAGATAAGTACAAGAATATCTATAGCAGCACTACTCATAATAGACCACAACTGGAAGCAACATAAATGTCTATCAACAGTATAAAGGATAAATAAAATAAATCATAGTATGTTTAATCAATGGAATGCTCTACAAACAGCAAAACTGAACAAATTGCTGCTACAGGCAGCAGCATGAATGAATCTCATGAACATAAGGTTGAACAAGAGAAACACACTAGGGGTGACCGGTTAGCTCAGTTGGTTAGAGTGTGGTGCTGATAACACCAAGGTTGCCGGTTCGATCCCCACATGGGCCACTGTGAGCTGCACCCTCCCTAAAAGAGTCAACTATGCCATTGTAGCATGAAAGCAATGTGTAACCAATGACCATGGCTGTTCCCCCCACCCCCCCCAAAAAAAGAAAAGAAACACACTAAAGAATACGTACTGCCTGTAGTCAAAATTCAGAAACAGTGTTGAAAGTCAGGATAGTGGTCACTTCTGGGGAGGAGAGAGGGTGTAGACATAGGAGAAGGAACGAAGGGGACTTCTGGGGTGCTGGAAATGTCTTGCTTAGTGGCGCACACTTAGGAGTTGTGCACTTTAGGGTGGGTATGTTACGCTTATGCTTCAACAAAAATTTCTGGACACTGAAGAAAATGAGGCTGTTTATCAGACTTTTATGTGTTTATCTTGAAAGATTATTTTCTCAATGTACTCATGTTGCACCCTGAGAAAAGATCATTACACTTAAAACATGGTCAGAAATGTTCCTCTGTAACCACCGCTTACCTAATTGACTCTGTTCTTTTTCCTTCCCTTGCAGTTCATCCACGAGTCTTTGGATCTCTTCATGGGCCATCCCTAATGTCTTCGGTGTTTGTTCTGCATCTCTCTCTAGGCAGTTTTGTGATGTTTTATTTTGTTCCAGATCTTCATGATAGGACTGAAATAAAATTGTTGTTAGTAATAAAACAAAAAGTAAATGTACTCTTATGACATTGCACTATTTCCTATAAGTGTTTGAAAGCCAATAAAGAAAGCTAGCAAACAGAATACATATTTCATTTATATGCATTTATTTTATTAGGTTGAACCATATAAAATTGGTGATATTTGATTATTTTTTACCTATAAACACGCAATTTCATATGGTTCAACTTAACATATCTAAAAGATTATGGTTACATGATTATTAAAAAGTAGAAAATTTAATCATAAAAATGAGTATCATCTGGAAAAACAGAAAGAAAATATTCCTCATTTATATGGAATATTAACTACAGTTTATAAAATGCTTTCACATGAAGTATTTCATTTAATTTCAAGGTATAAACACACTTAACAAGGTTCAAATCATGTTTAGAGCTCCTTCTCTGCAATTATTTTCAAAGCATTTTAAAAGCCAAGAAAGAAATTCAGTCTCAATTATATTTTGCTTTGATCTCCAAAATATATATTAATTTTATATAAATATATACAATATACAAATTTTTCTAAAAGATAAAAAAACAAGCAAATTACCATCTATATAACAAAACCACTTTAGAATATTGGTATATTTCCTTGCAGTATTTTTTATTCACATACATTTTTTACATAGTCATAATCACAATCTATATACAAGTACCTGTCCTTTTTCACTTAACATTATATGAGAAACATATACTGTACATTGCTGTACAGATTTTGTAATGATAACTTTTAAAGGCTGTATAATGTCCCAGAATGGGCAAAATATAATTTATATAACCATTTAAATATTTGGTGGCTTCCAATTTTTGCTATTGAAAATAATACTATGATATAGTTTCACCCATATATATATTTTTTCCTTATCTTGGGTTACTTCCTATGGTTAAATTCCCAGTATACATTTTGTTCACAGGATTTAGCTCTTAATAACATTTCCCCAGATCAAAAAATTAAATTCCATGAGAATTGATTATATTTAAAATAATATGCGTTACATTTTAAAGGACTCCTCCAAAGAGGAGCTCCAAACATATCTGGAAAGAAGTATGTACAGTCCCAAGGTGATTTTTCAAAGGATGTAATACACATTGATTAAATTTTGATACATTCAATAAAAATCAGCTATTGCACTAAATGGGTATTTGATTTTTCTTCTTCCCCAATTTTTGTGATGTGTTTATAATATTTTTATGTACAATTTGATAATTTTTATAATGTGAATCTATACATTTTAATGTATTCAAATAAATTACTTCCAAGCTAACTTGCAATTAGCTACTATTATTAAGTAAAAGATTATAATTTTTTTTTTTTACCTCACTCAGATTTGTGTTAGACTGCTGGACAGGTTCCTGATGTTTCTGATATTCTCTTTGCAGAGGCTGGTGGATTTGTTTAAATTTCTCCTAAATGAATATTAAGAGACAAATGAAACTTACATCAGTCAGTCTTTGTGAATAAAAATGTCATTTAAATAGAAAAAAAATAACCACCTAGAAAAAGGGAGGACAGTACAATCCATTTTTGCGGCTAGACCATGCATTCTCAACGAGACAAGATCACACCCAAGGGAGCAAAAACTCATTTTAGGGGGGGCTAAAAAAAATCTTACTCTTTTTATTTTCAAAGCACAGATATGCCTACAATAGATAGAAATAAATTATATCTGTGGTGTTAAAATTTCATGGGAGAGTGATTAGGAAAAATTATCTAAAATGTCTTGTTAGGGGGCAATAATGAAAAAAGGTTGGCTAACACTGGCTATACAAACCTTGATATTAAAATCTGACAAAGATAATACAAAAAGACAAATCACAGGACAATCTGACTCACAAACATGGATGTAAAAACCTTAAACAAAATTTTATCAAATTTAATTTAGTAATATTTAGAAAGGATAACCATAAACAAGTAGGAATATCCCAGGAATGCAAGATTGGTGTAACTGAAAAATTAATCAATGAAATTCTCACATCAACAGACTCAAGTTCTAAATTACCTCATCATCTCAATGACTATAGAAGAAACATTTTATAAAACTCAACAATGGGGCTGGCCAAGTGGTGCGTTGGTTAAGAGTTGGCTTGGGATGCTAGCTCTGGATCCCACGTGAGGGTCAGTGATGCTGCGCACAAACCGCAATTACTTTTGCACCAACCTAATAGAAATGTCTGCTAGTCTTGTGGAACACTCGCAAACCAAGTTACTCGCAATCCAAGGTTTTACTGTAATTTATACTTTAAATAAATGGAAATTCTCTGAAAGGATAAATAAAAAATTGTTGACAGTGGTAGCTTAAGAGTATGGAACTGAGGATTTGGGGTGAGAAGATAACTCACTTTTCATTCAATTTTTTTTTTTTTAGCTGAGCCATCCTGCCACCTGTTGGCAGCTTAGCAGCAGCTCAGCTCGGGCTGGACTCGAACCGCTGTTGCTCAGAGCTCAAACCCTTGAGCGAGCTCTTAACCAACTGAGCCACTCGGCCGGCCCCTTCCATTCAATTTTATATTGCTTGAATCTTTTTTTTTACTATACGCTTGTTTTGTTAGAAAACCAAAAAATAAAATATTAAGTAAAATATAATTAGTATATATATATATATATATCCGGGCTTGCATAATTCCTTGGGCTTCCAAGTTATCATATATGGCCCCATTTTGGTTGGAATGACTTTCTCATCTACTTTGTACACAGGTCAATTTCACATTAGCCTACGCAAAATGTAAATAGGAAGGCAATGAAATTTTTACAAGTTACATTTCGTAACAACATTTTATAATAACAAAAAACCTTTATAGTATGTTTTAGTTCTTTCTGTTGTTAGTGGGAAAATTATGACCTAACAGTGATGGGTAGATAGCCTTCGAGTCATCCAAGACTTCACCCCCACCATGTTCAATTTGTTTTATAGATTCCATCTCCTTAATAACTCTTTAGTTCATCTTCCCTTCTCTATTTACACTTGAGCCTTGTTTTTGGTTCTCATTCTTTAATCAGTTATTATATAACTTCCCCTGAAATCCCTGCTTCTAATCTGGTCCCTATCCAATCCATCCCTCTCCACTGTAGCCACAGTAATTTTTCTAACACACAAATCAGATCATGTTACTCTGCTCTTAAAATCATTTAGTGACTCTTCACACCTTCTATAGCAATCACTTGGACATTCAAAATATTTGTATTCCTCTAGTATGGTCCAGGACCATTGCTGGGTGTTGAGTCTAAACTCTTTAGCTTAGCATGTGAGTCTCACCATGATATGGTTCCGGAAATATCTCCAGCCACTTTTCTCAGCATTCACTCACATGGACCAATATGATTTATACACTGTTTCTTCTGCTAGGAAGGCCTTTCCCAACGTCTTCATCTAAATAACACCTACTCAGTTCGCAAAATACTACTCAAAATCACCTCCTCTGGAAGCCTTTTCTACCCATTCTGTCTGATTCAGCCCCTCCCTGGAGTTTCCTAGCTTCTATGCCTTCCTTTATGATAGAACCATCCA